ACTTGGCCAGTTGCATCCTGTTTCCTGGAAGGCTGCCAGACTTAGGCTAAATGGAAATGTAATGGATTGCCGTTCTGTCGGTTGGTTGGTTGCAACAGGCTGAATAAACAAGAGTTGCCTTGAGGTAGACTAAGTATTCCTGTTTAAAGTCACGCAAGCCTGAGTTGTGTCTTGTTTCTAGTGCACATTACCTTGCTTCAATGACAGTGGATGGGCTTGGTGTTCAATTTTTTATTTTCTTCAAAGAAAATTTTTTGTGGCAGGTGTGTGGTCAACCCTAAAAGCAGCCCAGTTAGGTAGAGAACCTAACACTTAGAACCACAACTGCTGCTGTTCATACATTTGTGGGGAATGGTGCTTTATTTTAACAGGTTATGAATGTCAGTAGTTGTCTAAGTCAATTTTGGGCTATATGTTCACTTTACATTTGTGTTGATTTAAGAGTTTCTATTTTGAGTTTAAAAAAATCAAGTTTGTATCTTATTTTAAAATAAAGAAGCTGTGTTTTGCTGAAAACCGGCAAAATACAGGTTCATAAGCACTCATTATACACTCTGCAGGGAGCCCAACATGTGTTAAACATACTAGTTCTATTAGTTCTCAGTGTAGGGTTTTTTTAAAGGAAATTATTTAAAAAGAAAGGCATGGGCACTTTTGAAAGAAAAAATTTAAATCCAAACCATTTAGGGCAGCTAGCTGGGAAGTGTAGTACTGAACTTACTTGGCTTTCATTGCCAATCAAGTTTTTCCATTGTTTGAATTCTAAAACATCAACAATCATCTTAGGCCCAGCCCTTCCTCCTCACCAAAAAATAATGAGATTTAAAAATATAGTTGTGTGCTGGATCTTGGGGAAGGAGGTTGGACTTTGGTATGAGATCCGTTAGACTATGCTTGGGTCACATCTTCTATTTTTCCATGTAACCAAGAGAGTTTTGTATGTGTTTACCTGTCTCCAGGAATTGGGGCTTTAAGAAAAACATAGTGACAGACTCACCATAAAATTACAAATGGAAGCTGTGTTGGGGCAAGGCCATCTTTTTGTTCCATGTTGGCATAGTATTTAATATAATGAAGTCCCAGCCCATGACTTAGGTTCCTAAGTGGTAGGCAAATGCTACTAAGTAGGCAACACTGTACTTGCACCTCTGTAGTTTATTGTATTAGAGAGGGTAGGAAAGAGTACATTTTTATTTTTTAATTGGAAAGTATTCTCCAGCTAGAGCCCTGTAAAGCTGCAGATATCCAGTTTATATCTGCACGTATCTGCACCTGTGGATGTCAGTGTTGATATCTGTGGCTCACTTTTGCGCATACAGATTTGGAAACAGCATATGTATCTGTGTAGGGCTCTCTATACAGCACCTAGCAAAATGGGCCCCTAGCCTTGATTGGGGCTTTTAGGTACTATTTTAGTTTAAAAAAGTAGTGTGCCTGAACGATGCATATTAAAACTCCAGGTCTGTTGAGTCCTTTGTGCACTTGAATAGTGCCATTCATTTCAGTGGGGCTTCTTTTTACATTCTTGCTTATTAAGTCTTTGGCAAATCAGGATCTACAACCACAGTTCTTCTGGTGGATTCTAACCATGATCGCCTAAACCATCTTGTCAGACCTTACACCTCCTTTGTTTTCATGCCGGCAGAGTCTGAAGTGACATCTGTGAAACAGCTTCACAAAACATAATAAATTCCCTTTTTCTTTGGCCTGATAGTACATGGAAAGTGATATCACTTGTTAAACCATTACCTTCCTGTTCACACAAGACGGTCACTGCTCCATTTGTGTATAACCCAAAATTCTGTTCTTGTCAGGTGGATTGGGAGATAATTAACACGCAGAAGATTATTTTGGTATCACTTCAATCATAGGCACATTTACGTAGGAAACCAAATTAATATCTTGGGTGATCTTTTTACACACATGGAGAGATGAACAAAACAGCAATTTTGCTACCTTTTTACCCATCTGAGGGTATGTCTACACTAGCCCCCTAGTTCAAACTAGGGTGACTAATGTAGGCATTCGAATTTGCAAATGAAGCCTGGGATTTAAATATCCCGGGCTTCATTTGCATGTTCCGGCGGGCGCCATTTTTAAATCCCCTTACTTCAAACTGACTGCCCGCGGCTACACGCGACAGTCAGAAGTTAATCCGAACTAATGCCTTACTTTGGATTAACTGTTACACCTCATCGCAGGAGGAGTAACAGTTAATCTGAACTAAGGATTTAGTTCGGATTAATTTCTGACTGTCACATGTAGCTGCGGGCAGTCAGTTTGGACTACGGGACATTTAAAAATGGCGCCCGCCTGGGAACATGCAAATGAAGCCCGGGATATTTAAATCCCAGGCTTCATTTGCAAATTCGAATGCCTACATTAGTCACCCTAGTTTGAACTAGGGGGCTAGTGTAGACATACCCTATCAGAAGTAGCAAGTGCAGGGGGTGTGGGGGGAGCCAGCACATCAGGGAGCGGCACGGGGGAGGGCACATGGGAGCCATTCCATGCAGGGAGACAGCTTTTAAGCCAGCTTTCCATGTGTGCTGGCTCCCACAGAGCTGCTTTCCCCTGCCTCTTCCTCCTCCCCCCCCCCCCCCCCCCCCCCCCACACTCCTGCTCCTGCTGCCTTCCACAGAGGCAGCAGTGTGGAGGGGCAGGCAGGAGCCAGTGCCCGGAGGGGTAGAGAGGCAGCAGCGTGTAGGATGGGAGCGGTGAGGGGAGAGTAGGTGGAAGCCAGTACATGAGGCAAGCCTACTTTTAAGCCAGCTCCCTGCAAGCACCAGCTCCCACCTGCTTCCCTGCATATAAACATGTGATTGCTTTTAAAAAATCAGTGGTTACATGTTAACAAAAATAAGCATTTGTTAACATCACTAAGGTCAGGTCAGTGGTCCTTCTAGCCCAATGTAGTGTGTCTCAGTGCCAGAAGCTTCAGAGGGAGTGAACATAATATAGCTGTTTCCAAGTGATCCATCGCCTGTTGTCCACTCCCAGCTTGTCAGTTGGAGGTTTAGGGACAGCCAGAGCATGTGACTGCATTTCTCACCATCTTGACTAACAGCTATTGATGGACCTATCCTCCATAAACTTACCTAGTTCATTTTTGAACCCAGTTATATTTTTGGCCTTTGGCATATCTCATGGCTAAGATTTCCATAGGTTGACTGAGCATTATGTGAAGTATTTCCTTTGGTTAAGTTTTAAACCAGCTACTATTACTCAGGTTGATGTGTTTATTGTTATTACTGTCATCTCTCCTCTAGAAAAAATATGCTAGGGTTTTTCCCTTGATGCCGCATCAATTCACAGTTCAAAGATGATAAATTATAGTCTGCTATTAACTTTTTTTAAATAGAATGAGCGTTAGTAGTCAGAGACAATGATTGTTTTGTGCAAATGTTCCCATTGTATATTTCCATTATATAATCTATACGAACCTCTTCAGATCGCAATTTAGATAATACAGCAAATAAGGGAGCTAATATTTTGGCTGAAATTATTTTTTCTCATAATGTTCTCATTCTTTGGCAGTTAGAGAGTACCAGGTGTTCTGCATATTATCGTTTTTTACCTTCATACAACATCTAGTGTCACAAATATTAGTAGCTCAGCAAAGTTAGACCACACAGCAAGTACTAATCTAATCTGGAAGTTAGTAAAATGTTTGAAGAGAATTCTAGGGGAAAAAATAAGTAGCTGAGATTCTGAAATTGCTTGGGTGACTTTTTTTATGTCTTGTGTTCTGAAGAACCTTTTCCACCCTATTGTCATGATGATTAATGTTTATTAATATGTGTTGCATTATCTAGGAGAGGCTTGGCCCCACTAAAGTCAATGAAAGCTTTGTGGTTGACTTGAGTAGATCCAAGATGTTCAGAGCAAAACTTTCTCACAATCTTCCTTCTAGCAATTAGTTATTGCTGCTTTGAGTACATCGTTTCTTTAGAAGCTGCTAGCTAAATTAAAAATGTACAGATAACTGAGTGTTCTTTTCACCAAGCCTATGCTACAAGCCCCAGGAATATATTGATAGCGGCTAACACATTTTTCAAACCCAGGGTCATAAGAAGAATCCTAACTCATCCATTGGTGTGTTAATTTTAATTTGTCAGTCTCTCCTTAAATTGGTAATAAATAGGAGGCTTAAGAATCTTCTGATTTTGTTAACAGGATTATGTTCTTGGAGTGACACCGGACTTGGGCTTCTGAGAATGGGTGGCTGGGTGGGAATATAAACTGCAGATGTTAAAATGGGGATAATTGGCTAACTGTGTGTGTAACCACTCAAAAATGTCAGCTCTTACATAGTTACAGGCACCTGCAACGAGGGTGGCAGCCAGCTTCCCCAGGAGCTGGTGTGCACCGAGAGCCAGCTTTTAAGCCAGCTCCTGGCGTGTACCAGTTCCCACCAGGACAGCAGCCAGCTACCCAGGAGCTGGTTCTTACCAGGGAGCTGGCTTTTATGTTGGCTCCATGTGCGCACTAGGTTCTGCCTGCTGCCCCACGCTGCTACCTTGCTACCTGGTACAGAGGCAGCAGCGCACAGTGGCAAACGGCTATATGGGAGCCACACCAGGAGCCACGTATAACCGTTGATAAGGAGCGTATCAGTTACCCATTTAAACAGCTACACTTTTACATCCCTAATATAAATATATTCTTATAAAGGAAAATATCAAGTTGGAAAAAATCTGCGTAAGAGCGGTCTAATTTCTGAGAGCTGTTTCTCCGTGTACTGAATTATCTGGTAATTATAGTAAAAGTAAAAGAAAGTGTATGATTAAATGGGTTAGTCACAAATGTAGGTCTAGCAAAATGATTTTTAATGCATTATGCTTCTCTAAAAATGTGTAATTGTGAATGAATGGTAGTAAATGTGAGGACCACAGATATAATATGATTCAGGTTTTGGAGAATTGATGGTTTCATCTATTAGACACTGGTAAATGTACTGTATTTTCAAAACATGAATTGTAATAATATTTTTTTTCCAGGCGATTGGCTGGCAATGACCTTTCTTTTATCCATCCGAAGGCCTTGTCTGGGTTGAAAGAACTCAAAGTGCTGTAAGTAATTACGTTTTAGAGCTTCACAGCTAGCTATGTGTATTTTTCTTGCACCGTCAGCATGTTTACTGGTAGGCTGGACAGAAAGAGACTTTTTTGCTCAGACAGTACAGCAACATGAACATCCTTACTGCTTTGTTATTTTTGCATAATCCCTTGGGAGGGCTAACTGTGACGATGACGTGCATTCAGTAACAAAAACAGCCATCACCTTGATTAAACTGTAGTTATTACATTTTATTGGAGTACTGGTTTTGACTCCCAGATACATCTTGTGGTAGAGAAATACTAATAGTCAGGCTTAGACTCTATCTTTTTCTCCTTTCTCTCTGACTGTCCAAAACCAAGAAAAACAATGGACCCTAGAGGGTTCAGAGGAAGCCACCGAGACTTTTGTCCTCTTATCCCATCAGGTGCTCAGACATTACTGTAATGTGTTTAGTATGAGAACCTTACTAGTTTTGGGGTGCCATTATAATTCCCTCAGAAAAGAATGTAAAACAGCCACTCCGGTAACAGAAGTTGACCACTAGAAGGATTTCTAAGTGAGGCAGTAGTAATGTGCTTCTCTCCCTGTGCCCTGTTTGTCCCCACAACAGCTGCTGCTCCATAATTAAGGCTGAAACTAGCTTTCTGTTATAAGCCAGATTTGAAAGATGAAACAAAACTCTGTTGTGACATTTTAGCACTTAAAATGAGATGTATTTACACAAAGATAGGCCCAATAGAGCAGGGATTCAAAGAGTCTTAGAGAAAGCCAGTGAAGGGAAAAAGGAGGTCCTCAGAGAAGAAAGAAGAGTAAGTCGTAGGAGTAAGAGGGAAGACTGGAAAACTCATGATCTGAAATACTGCTTATGGGAAGCTCTGTAAGGTAGATGTGAGGAAGGTACTTAAAATTAGGCCATTTAAGGTATCTCAAGCTGGGTGCCCAAAATGTGTATGAATTCTTATAATATTAAAACCTAAATATGTTACCTGCTTTCTTAAGACATTAAGTGGCCCACTTCATAACAGCAAACAGATCAGCCTTTAAGATGCTGTTGATGGAAAATATTCTTTACCACTACCAATATAATGAGAACTTAAAGTGATGTAACTTAATGTAGCTCGTCACTACCTTTCTTTAGAAACCTCTTTTTAAAATCACCAATGTATATCCCACCGTATGGTACAATTTTAGAACAAAATGGAGGGGCAAAAATCAGTGCGTGTGGCTAGAGAAATGGTAAAGGATTATATGGCTTTAGAGAGCAGGCTGGATTCCTTAATATTTCAGTGCACACTGCCTATAGCAGGGGTTACCACCGTGGGGTATATGTACCCCTAGGGGGTACGAGAAGCTTGTCAAGGGGGTACGGGGAATGTTTGGTAAATAACTAGATTATCCTAATTGAAATATGCCAAAAGTAGTAGTGTTAGTGAAAAAAGTTGTGGATTCTTGAGTCTAGAATTTATTTTCTTCCATATTGAAAAGGGGGTACGGGAAGGTTTACTAAAAGCCAAGGGGGCATGGGCACCAAAAAAAGTTGGGAACCTCTGGTCTATAGGGTTGCCAGATGGTTTCAACAAAAATACCAGACACTCTTTACATTACATCTTATTTTGAAAATACCTCACATTTATGTTTTCTCATTTATATTTTCTCAATTTGTTTCCTGAACAGAGAGCTCAAATATTGGACTGTCCGGTTCAAAATCGGACATCTGGCAACCCTAACTGTCTACCATTTGGTATTTTTTTGCTGATAATTCAGTAAGATTTGTGTTATCTTGAGAATTCCAAAATGCTTTTTCTTGTGCAAAAAGTCCACTAATGAGAAACAGGGTCTCTGTCAAATAGAAACTACTTTAAAGATCATTGTGAAAAACTTTTACTAACAAAGTTTCTTCTACAGAACTCTACAGAACAATCAGCTGAAGACTGTACCTAATGAGGCCATTAGAGGATTAAGTGGTTTACAATCCTTGTAAGTTGTGTTTTGTTGTTGTTGTTTCCCTTCCCTCTCTATCTCTCTCTTCTTCCCCCACAACTCTATATACTAGGGCTGGCCAAACTGCAGCTCATGAGCCGACTGTGGCTCATGTACGGTTAAAGTACGACTTCCAGATCCCCCTGCCTCCCTCCGTTCTCTGCTACCAGACTGTTCAGGGGAGCTCAGGGCTTCCATCCAGAAGCAGGGTGGTAGGGCCCCACAGCAGGTGTCTGCCAGGACTCAAGGCTTCAGTGATAGTGGGGATGAAGCCCTGACCCAGCCGGTGCACCCTGTGAGGGTGAAGCTGCTTGATCCTCTAGCCCTACCACCTCTCTGTTCGGGAGAAGCCCGAGCCTTAGCAGACACACTCCAGCTCTAGAACTTCTGAAGATACTTGTATGTGGCTCAGAGGGTCAGGAAGTTTGGCCGTCCCTGATGGATTTCTGTCTCTCAAATTCTTTCTGCTGGACTCTGGAATACATTGAAATGCAATGATTTGGGTAAAATAATGCTTGTGGGTATCGTGTGTTAATGTGAAGTGGAGCAGAAATTTCAGCAAAGCATTGAAAGGAATTTATAATGTTATCTCTAAAAAAGAATAACTTTCATAAACCCCTCCCTAAGAGAGAACGTAGATACAATGCAAATATGGAAGTCCACATTGGATTGCCCCACATGTCCAAAGGTGTTGAAGCAAATTAAAGAATTGTGCAGAACTTTGAGATTTTTTTGGTTGAGAAGGAGGCTTTCACCTCCCAAAGGGAGAGCTGGTTGCGGTTTTCATATAATTCATTTTAATGAAATTCATTTAAATCTTATAGGCTGCTGTGCAAACCCCTACTGTTATTTCCAGCCACCCACAAATTTTCATGAGGGTTTTTTTGTTTTTGTGTGGCTTTTGGTGGTTTGGCTCCTTTTGCATGGCATCTTAATCAGGCTTTGTTGGCCTATTGCACCCCCCTTGCACAAGGTGAGTGTTTTTCATTTTCATACAATACCTGGACTTTGCTCCCTTCTCCCTATCACCTTTGTGTTCTTAGCATGCCAAAGCTCTGGTTTCTGCACAAAGATCTCCTTCCCTCCAGCTCTGCACTGAGCCAGGTACAAGTTGTGCACAGCTGCTTCCCTGCTCCATAAGTGGGGCATCTCTGGCAATGCAGTCTGTGTGCTATGCCCCGGCCTTTTCCAGAAACCAAAAGAAACTTCCCCTGACGGTGTATGGGTTGGTGATAGATCTGTGCTTTCTTTGTCCCCGTCAGTTATGGGTTCTTTTCTTGATATGTGCAAGTGAGTCACTTTAATTTTCATAGGGAGCTACGTATCTCTGGATAGAGACTACATTCCATTATGTGTTACCTGCCTGAATTTAAAGCAACTACAGGCTGGCGTCCAGAGGGGTGTCATGCTAAGAGGAAAACACTTCAAACATTAGTTCATTGTTGTAACATGCTCTTTATCCAACCAAAAGTTCTTTTTTCTTGGTATCCGTAATCTGATGGTGTATCCATTAGTAGTCTCACTGTCTAGAATCTATCCTTTTGATCTTCAGTAAATATGTTTTTGTTTTCACATACATACAGCATCTCTGATTAAACAGTCATCTGATTAAGCCTTAGATGATTAAAACCAGCGGTTGATGATTTTGATAACAACTTGTGATCAAAAAGAAAGGGAAAAACACCTCAAGGCAATAGTAGTGAATGAACAAATTAGTCCAGAATCACTCTTTGGATGATATGAAAGTTACCCTAGCAGCTGCATTGGTGACAGATGAACTGTAGGTGATGTGATTGTTAGAGAGTTTGAAGAGGAAGACATTAACAAAAAATAACCTATTTTTCTGCCCTCTTCAGATACCAAGTTGAGTGTACAGAACTATCAGAGAATGTGTGAAGCATCTGGATGTCATTGGGCATAAATATTGGAACCTCAAATGACATGTTAACACTTTTCAGACTAAACTTAAACAGTCTGGTATCACTTCAAAATCTTTAAAGTGCTATCAGACTATTGGTTGTTTTATGTTTATCCTGTACAGATTAACTCGGCTACCCCTTTGAAACTTTTCAGACTATTTTTTTCTAGAGAGAGGAATTAAAATTTTATTTGTATTTCACTCCATTCCCAAGAGGACATCTGTCCATCTGTCCCATGACAACTTGTTAAAATTGGCAGCCACCTGATATTAACACAGAAATGATATTTTAGTTTGAGACAGCTGCACTGGTATATATGTATGTGGAAAAACATGTAAGGCAGATTGTGCTTAGAATGTGCTGCTTTCATGGGTTCGTAAAGTTTCCATTAATAATAGGACAAGAGTAAATTAGGAATGAATCATGCAAACCCTCAACTCAGAGTTCACAGTGATTTCGAAGAGGGCACTTCATGCATGGAGGTTGCAGGCTTGGGCACATAGTTTCCATATCAGAAAATGTAGAAACATTGATATTACAGTAATGTGCTGCTGTATACGTAACATGATCTTTAACATAGGAATTTGTCCTAAAAAACAAAACAAAACAACAACCCTAAGGTCCCCTCAGCAGGGATGATCTCCGTATAAAACAGACAGCTCTTTGCATGATATATGCTAGAAAATTGCTGCTAACTTTTATTTATTTATATAATCTCTGTTCAAAAACTACAAGTTTAAACATCAAGTTGTTTCTTGGCAGTTCCCCCGCTTGCTGTGAATGAGGCTTGAAAGGGTATTTTTTTCTTGGTGCAGACACAAATGATTCTTAAAATTTCAGAATATATTGGTAACCATTTGGTTTGCAGTTCCTATCTGGCTATGTTAGTCTTTGTTTTACTGCACTAAGATGTAGACTGCATAGAGAGACAGTTGTCAAATTGTACGTGTTCATGATTCCTGTAAATGTACCTGGTTTGAAATGAAATAATTACAGAAGCTTTACAATTCTTAATGTTTGCATGATAGCTGTACATTAGCTAGTGTAGTTCTGAATACACAATGGCAACTCTATATTCTCTGTTGACATTGGCTTTTTTCCCAGATCTCTCTTCCTGAAGAAAGTTAGAATATAGTCATTATTTATGAAGAGGACAGTTTACCAAAATGAGGGTTTACTGCGAATAGAAACCTGCTTTTCAACACTTCAGAATACTTTATCTGGAATGATGTCTTCACACAGCAAAATGCAGTGGTATCTTTGAGCACTAGCAAGATAAAATATGCTAGTTTTTTTTCTTATCCAAATTATATCTGCTGGTGCTAAAGCAGGAGCCTGATAAAGGTGGAGTTCACTTATTGAAATTGATACTATTGCTTTTTGGTTTACTGCCAAATATTAATAGTATATGCTAATCACTTAGTGTTTGGCATCCATAGACCACACATGTGTCAAGAAGCGACCTTCTTCCCATCTGCATTTAGTAAATAGATACTGATTTTTGAGCTGTAATATATATTGTAGGGAGTCCTTGGGAAGCTCCTGTAAATAGAGCAACCCCTGGACTACTCTGACTTTCCCCCGGAAAGTCTAAAATCTAATCTTGTACAAACTCTCTCCTGGATTGGAGGGATAGACATGCTCAAACTATGTAATGAACCATAGCATGCCTCATTTATGTATGCAAAATAGAATAATTTTTTTTATCCAAAGACTTCATAATGTTTTATAAATTAGAATTACTCCTGCATTCCACACAGAAGCTATGTCTAGACTGCAGAGCTTTTCCAGGATACCGGATGTGTCCCAGAAAAGCTCTGCCATGTCCAAGGAACGCGTCTGCTTTTTCGGAACCGTTTACAAAAAAGCAGATGTGTTCTTTCGGCATCCCTGTATTCCTCTCAGTGAAAGGAATAAGGGATGTTCCGAAAGAGGACCAAATTTCGGAAAAGCCTCTTTCGGAGGAAAAAAGTGGAAAGATACACGCAAATCACGATTCACAGTTTGTATATCTTTTTCCAACTTTTCCCAGAAGTGTAGACATAGCCAGAGAGAAATAAAGTGAAGGGCTTGGCTTAGTGGGTCAGCAGAGAATAGAAACCTAGATTTTGCTGATCTGACCCGTTCTTAAAAAAAAAAAAAAAAAAGAGAGAGAGAGAGCGAGATAGCATTGACAGATGTTAACATTTTCCTGAGGAAAATTGAACTGGTGATTTTTAATGTTGTGAGCAGAATGTTGTTGTTCTCAAATATTTTGGTATTTTGAAAGTAACATTAAGTAGAAGTTCCCGTTTCACTGTTTTGCATGAAATTGTTATGGAAGAGTTTAAGTATGGTATGTGGAGGGACAAGAAGCATTTTCAAGTTGTATTAACTGAACTGCTCTTGTATCAGAACAGTATGTCCTTCAGTTACAAGAAAAGAGCATTCTGCCTATGCAGCTCTGAGTTCCTGCAGCCTCACTCTTGCTTTCTGGTTCTACAGTTTTGCCATCCTTCCCTTAAGATCCCGACTTTCAGTTTTATAAACACTGTGGCTGAGATTCTCAGAGCTGCTAAAGAATTTGGATGCTTAGTTCCCATTAATTTTAATGGAATTTGGGTATCTAAATCTAGGGTTGCCAGGTAGACCCCACCAAAAAACCAGACACACTTGATCGTGGGCGGGGAGGGGGACGGGGACTGGCCG